ATAGGGAAAGTTACTGCTTTTCTCGAGTTGGTAAATAACTTGACTGCAATAATTAATTTTAATATGATATGTCCCTGTGCCAACTTCGAATTATGGAACTTGCATGTGATGGCTTATTCGATGGATTAAGAATTCCAAGTTGCTATTATACAATTGGTTATTTTATTAGTTTTTCTCACCGAGCCTTCTTTTTGCCTCTAAATGCTGTGCTAGCTTGTTAAGTTCATCAAGAATCTTGAGTTTGTGTGTCTGGAAACGTATTGGATATGGCTTATGCTGCTTTGCTTTCACTTACTCAAACACTAGAACAGATCCTGGCTTTTGGCGATGAAATTCGAATTTTTTATGACGAGAAACAGATCAAATCTCTCCATGAAAAGCTTAGCTTCTTGCTATCATTTCTGGACGATTCTTCACCCAGAAATACTGAATCAATGACATGTTTAGAAGCTAGAATCAGAGATGCAACATATAAAGCGGAGGACATAATTGAATTGCATATGTTAATAGAGATTCTCTCAGAGATGCAACATATGAAGCGAGGAGTTATCGGTTGTTTTGGGAAAATAGTTGTGATGCCCGTGTTCCATAATTCTGAGATATATGAAGGCTTACGGAAGGTAATAAAAAAGATTGATTCCATTTTGGTAGATGTGGAGAAGATGATGGGCATGAAAAACATAGAAGGTTCATCAAACATTGATTCCAGTAACAAGAGTACTGTAGTGGGATTTGATAATGACTCGATGCAAATTAAGGATCCGCTCAGTGGACCACCTCCTAAATTCAAAAGCACCTCAGTTGTTGGAATTGAAGACACTGGTAAGACTAAACTGACCAAACTGCAATGATCAAATCAATTAACAACTAAAATACATTTCTTTGTAAAAATCCATCACATTTGCACTTCATGACTGCCAATTTACTGTTATTAGCTGCATGTTATTTATGGATAATCTTGCTTGTATTACTTTTATTTATATCTCCATACTTGTCTATCTGCCTTGTTTATTCTTAAAGTTTGAGATCATGAAATCAGAGATTTGTACGTCTAAAAACTCCCTAAGACATCAAAATGCAAATTAAAGGTCGGATGGTCAACTTGAATATATTTATGGCAAAGAAAAAAGCTAAGATCGTCCATGTCATGTTCTAGCCAAGAAGGAATTAAAATCCACTATCATTTTATATCTTGAGAAAAATGATAAAGGAAGTTGAATGGCAATTAGAACTTAGACATAAGTTAGTTAAAATTTCACGCTCGATCTTTTGAAAAGAATATGATAAATAATTGAAGTGACCAATATTTTTTAAGGTCATTCAATCAAAATATTTTTTCAGTCTTTTCAATCTCAATTCTTTTTCAGAAGAGGTGGTGAATGCTAATGACCGAAATGACTTACTAGATCTGGAACCAAGGAACTCTTTGCATGCCACTTCATCAAAATCTGCTTCCACTAACAAGAATTTCATGGTGGGATTCGAAGATGACTTGCTCCAAATTAAGAACGAACTGGTTGGGCTACCCTCTAGGTTGAAATTCATTTCAATTGCCGGGATGGGAGGCATTGGCAAGACAACACTTGCAAGAAATATTTACAATGATTCATATATTGAGTATCACTTTGACATTCGGGCCTGGATAACTGTGTCTCAGGAATATCGTGTGCACGAACTGCTTCTACACATTCTAAAATCCATGGGAGACCACACTGATGAAATGATTCGAATGGAAACAGACGAATTGAAACTACAAGTATATCAACGTTTGAAGGGCAATAGATATCTCATTATTATGGATGATTTGTGGGATGACAAAATCTTAGATGAATTTAGAAGGATATTCCCCGATGACAATAATGGAAGTCGGATAATTTTGACTTCTCGGCTATCCAATGTCGCTGTTAATGCCGATTGTTCTGCCTGTATACACAATCTGAGTTTTCTAAGTCCCAAACAAAGCTGGAGTCTTCTGTGCCAGAAGGCCTTTCGGAACGAATGCTGTCCCCCTGAACTCGAGGAAATTGGAAGGAGAATAGCAGAAAAATGCAAAGGACTTCCACTTGCACTTGTAGTCATTGGTGGTGTCCTCTTCAAAGCGGAGAAGACACGAGCCAATTGGGAGTATGTTGCTGAAAATGTGAAATCTGCAGTAACTGGAAATGATGATGATTTCATGGAAATACTGTCTTGGAGTTACAACCGCCTGCCCCATCGTCTTAGAGCATGCTTCCTTTATATGGGAGTTTTCCCTGAAGATTATGTGATCCGTGTCTCCCATCTTATCAGACTATGGGTTGCTGAGGGATTTTTAAGGCCAAATACGCATAAAAGTTTGGAAGAAGTGGCAAAGGAGTATTTGGAAGAGCTTATTGATAGAAATCTAATTATGGTTCGTGACGGGATTT